GTACACCTTCGTCCATCGATAAGATGATGAGTGTCGCCATTCAAAAAATTCTGCTACCTACCGAATATCGACCACGTACTCATTATGCGACTGGTACGTAGATCAGCTTGACTTTGCCACCACGCAGCTCTCGCAAGAACCGTTTCGGATCGAGTTTTGGCAACTGAGTTGCCTCCGTAGTTAACTTTGTAGACACTATTTAAATTGAGTTTATAAGCGCCTGCAACTGATTCGTCCTAAATTAATCAATCGATATCCTCGTTATTCCAGGAACCTTATGCAATCAGGTATAAGGAGCTTTAATCCTTCAGTGGTACTTACTTGATAAACTCATTCATAATGGCGTGGAGACTTATTTAATCAGCGTTTTCTAACTGTGGTAGCGCTACCACATCCATGTTTTTGCGGTTAAATCTAATTAGATCAAGGACTAACGTGTTGAAGATTCTTGTAAACATCGGTCTCATTCCTTGGATACTGCACTCGAGATATGCGTCCATGTTTCGATACATAAAAATCAATTTCTGGACCTCCGAATCTGCTTTTGTTCTACCAAAGCCACCGACAGCTTGCTCCATGGTGTACTGATCAATTACACTGCCGTATCATGCAACCGTTCTGAATACCGAAACACAATTGAGGCCATCAAACTCACTCACAGAAGACCCACACGATTTTGAACGCTCCAAGTAGTTCATAATGGTACCCAGCTAATGATCAAGTATCAGACATCTTCACGTGACGATCATGTCAGTTTGTACGTGGCTCGTACGTAATGATCCATGGTAAACCAAGATAACATCAAATTTGCCATCCGAATTCAGTAAATTAAAACTATCATCGTACTATCCATGTTCAAACGTGCAGCGGATTCCCTTTACACGTTTCTTCACTGTTGCGCATGCTTCTATTGCAAGGCACACCGTAATTCTCGTAAGAGGGGTCTCGCGCTCAACAAACGCGAGACTACGACCCTCTAGTGACTGCCGTCAAACAAATCTTTTTGACACTCCGCAGTCAGCCAGGGCATGAATCAGAACATTTTTGTAACTTCGATCTTCGAGATTATGATGAACACCGCACCGCTAGGGGCAGTCTCATGCATATAGTGCGTATCGGCAGAAATATTCATCATGAGGCCTGTAGATTATCTTGATGTCTGGAACAGAAGGTTGCGCTGCTCTACTGACTCCGATCGTTTTTGTCGATCATCCACGCTTCGACTTTGCAACAATAATGGACCGACGTCTCATAAACTTCTGACGGTCGTTACATACTGTTGTACGTAGCGCTGGATTCGGGGCACTATATTCTAGGCGTAGGCCCCTATCTTTTTACATCGAATTCATTTCTGTAATTGTTTGTTTATTAAAGAGCGAATTCTTTTGATCTCCACGTAGGCAAGGTCCATCGGTTCTAGGCCTCCATCGTCTTGGAATCCGACAGGATACCGAGTTGGCGTGATCCTGACTCAGGCTGACGTACTCCTGTTCCGCCACGGATAAATTCTCTAACATATTCAATTATAGGCGGAACAGATCGATCTTGGCGGTACCGTCCGCAAACGCTACATCAACATCGTTATCAACAAGTGTTCATGAGTCGTGTATTCCTTGATGCAACTCGTAAGGTGGTATGCGTGCTGATTTCGAGCGTGCGCGTTACGCTTACACTGTCTGAATTCCAACAACTCGTATGGAGCCCTGAGTCCAATACTTGACGGCTTGAACGTCTATCTGAGCCGGTTTTCGAAGTGCTTTGACGATCCAAACGCATATGGGTCGTGAAGCTTGAGCTTTAAGGTCCGATCGTTGAAACGTCTGGCAAGGTTTGGCTTAATCATGTTATCGTCATCTCTTCGTCGGTACTACGACTAGCCCTTATGTCTTTTTTTAACTCGACACTTTACCTCAACTGGGGAACTTTTCTAATATCCGGTATGGGAGATATATATCCTCAAGCTTTCGGAACGGCGCACGTAATACGACCCGGTATCCGCAGACTGATCTTGCTGCTTTCCCAAAATATCGAAGTGTTGATCACCCCGTTCTCTCACCAGATCTGCGTGTTAAGAGCCTTACTGGTGAATCACAGTTTAAGTTTCGCTCGCGTAAAGTTCATGCTGGATAAACTTGGCGATCGCAGCAAGTTGCGCACCTCCTTTAAAATGAGCAATATGGAGGTGATGAAGGTCCGCCAACGGCAGAAGTGATACACTTGATGCAGCCCATTTGATGTCAATCAAATAAATGAAGCTTTTACGTGTGATGTAAAACTATCGTATTCTTCATCCAACATATTTGTGTTAAATAGAATGTACGCGGTCGTTAGATGGAGCACAAAGTGCTGCCAAGTATAACGGGATACCGGTGCTTCTACTTACACAGTACACGTACCCTGCACTGACACATTGGTAGGCTAGTGTCTCGAATCCTCGTTTACATTGCACGTGTAGAGGAAGGCTTATCTTCTAAATGAACACGCTAAGAAGAAGGAAAAGCAAAGCTGTATATTTTTAGTTACGTTCTCTAATAAAATATCTTTTTATTGTACTTTTAGGATATTGAACTAGAAACTTCGAATGTAGCGACGCGCTTACCCTTCATCACGTGCGTCTAGCAACGATGGTGGCTTATTTAATCGGCATCATGGACTGTATCAACTTATGAGTGAAGCGTTGCTGACTAGTAGCACCTGAAGAGTAAATATCCCTTCAACACTTACTTAGCAAGGTAAATATTGTAGGAAATTACCAATTACGATAATATTCTAATTGACCCAGCGTGGTGTCAATTGCAAGAAACGGGCTCACTCCATTTCAATATTGACCGGTCTCCGGCGATCTACTGTGACGCCCGCCCACGGGTATCGATCGTTCCAGTTCCTCCCTGTCCCATTTCTGTGCTTCGCCACGCGTCTATCGAGGTTGATGTGCTTCTCACTTAGAGCAGCATGCTTCACGTCGGTCATGTCAAAAGAACGATATCGCGGCGCATGTGGAAGTAGAAAAGTCGCCGCTCAATTTTGAATTTTAGCACAAAACTTGTGCCGACAGCTGGTGCCAACCAACGCGGAGATTTCATTCACTTTCACATGTAAACATCGTGTTGGTACTCTCGGATTCATCCGGTTGCGAGGTCAGTCCTAACTTCAAACTACACGTATTCGGTATTGCTTGCAATTAGCAACATCGCGTCTACACACGCACTGCGACTGCAAGGTGCTGTGTTCGACCATTCTGCTACACTGGTTGGTGTATACCCAATGCTATCTTTCCAGCTGAATCGCCTCATGAGCTCGATGGCTATACGAGTACAGACCTCTTGACATTCCGTGAGTGCCGCAAGTGTCCAGCGCTGCATTGTCGCGACCTGCATTTCTCAATACCAATATCATACACATGTTCATATGTAGATGCATTGCACGGACAGTCAGTACCTTGTAAATTCTATCGAATCTCATGCGGGTTTCAACTTCTACGTTGCGGTCAACTTGCTTTCAATGAGGCGCTCACTCCTCAAGTATGTGTTCTCAACTACCACGTCCTCAAGCCCCATAGTTTGCATTGGCTGACTCGTGGAACGTTGTGACGAGTATGATGAAGTCTCAGACAATTTACGCGTGTTCTTCTATGACTTTTTTATTGCAAAGAGGATCGTCGACCGATAAAAGAAGTAGAATGCGCAGGACTCTATACTATGCCTATGGAGCTATTGGGCCGTCCTTGCGTCTTTCATCGCTGCCATTGACAAGGAGGTTGAGTCGGGCAGGCACGTCACACTTAACGACCGGCTGCACGATGCGCACGATGCGATGAAGCGAAGAGAAACAAAGCACATGCACAGTATCTGCTTAAATCATAACTCTAAGTAAGGAGAAACGGGAGAGACACGACCACTTGCGACCATGCGACGCGCGAGAACGAAACTGGCGACTTGGAATAAACACTTGGCTGTCATTGTTGCGTACTGATTTAGGACACAAGTCTAAAGTTCTACGGAAATACTCGTTTCTAGCAGATCCACTCGACACTACGGAAGGGAGTCGAGGAGAGAGAAGTTGACGCGGGAACGCGCACGCAGATCGATGGATCGATAAAGAGAATAAGACGCATGTTGCAGTCGCTCAAATTACAGCAGAACAATCGAATCGCTCTCCTCGTCATCCGTTTGGTGCTCCAGACGACGTACGAGTGGGGACTTACGTGCCCCGAGAGTTGTTGTGCTGTCGTGGGAAAAACAGATGCCGACAGATGCTTTCTGGGCTCGCGACTGACCTACCCTACCCCCGAGTCCAGCGAAAAAAGGACATTGCCGCGGTCGTTCGGCATCCGAGCGTGAAGTGACGACCATCGCTCTGACTCCTTTAAATAAAGCGATCGACGGACCGCAGCGCCTGCCCGACGCGGTCTATTTCGCGCAACGCTTTATTTCACAAATGCTATGTAATCGGTATGGCCGATTGCGCTCAATGCGCAGAGAGACAGAAGATATTTAGGGCGAATCAAGCAAAAGGACCAGACAACACAGACGGCCGACAAGAGAATACGGCAGCGCATCCGCACGAGACGAGGGATTCGCTGCCGCGTCAATTTGTAAACCGCGGCTGTACTTTCAACTTTAACGGTCGTTAACGTTCTCAATAGAGAAGCTTTCGAGCGCTTTCCCCTGTATCGACACTGGCTCTCTCCCTCTCTCTCTCTCTCTCTCTCTCCGTTCCGTCTGACGATCGCCAAGGCAGACAAGAGAAAAGACGAAGGCACACAAACGAACGCATCGACAGCAGCAGCAGCAGCAGAAGCAAAAGCGACGGCAAACTGATAGCAAAATAAAGCCGGGAGTTGTGGCGCGCTCTTTGGCTGAAAAGCGACAGGACACGTGCAATCTCGACCGTCGAGTCTCCCGCGACCTCCAAGCCTCACCTTGCGCTCGCCACCCCCAGTCGCTACGGTCGCTTGCTCCACCTCTCCCTGTGTCGGTAGGTATCACAGACACGTGCTTATGTATTCAGCAGCTCTTCTTGTCGCGGTGGCGCTCGGTGTCGCCACAGCACAGACGGCGGCCCCGACGCCGCCTCTCTTGTCGTCGTCTGCCTCTCGTAGCGGCGAGTATGGAAACACAGCACCTACTGAAGGGGCCGTGACGTGCGTCTTCCGCTACTTGATGCCAACAGCTTCGAACGCCCCAAGCGGAGTCGCCACCCAAATTTCGGCCTCCGGTGCCAGCGACAGCGACGACAACGGCAACGCCAGCGGCAACAGCAACGGCAAGGGCAACTTCAACGGCAACTTCAACGACAACGACGACGACAACAACGACGACAAGGGGTCTGTGTCTGCTTCTGGAAGTGCCGAAGACGACGGCGATGGCGGCCCGCCGCTCGACTCTGGCGGCGAGACGTCCGACCGGCCCTCGACGTCGTCGGCGGCGAGCGTCCGCCCCTCGCCCGAGACGGACAGCAAGTCGACCGCGCACGCGCCCGATGCGCGCGGGTCGTCGTCCAACACGTCCGAGCCGCTCTCGCCGACGGCTCCTGCAGGGCCGCCACCTGCTACGCCACCCGTGCCGCCAGCCAGTACCAGGCGACCGTCGAGCACGCCGTCGCCGCCGTCCCGCCCGATCGACCCGACGCCGCCGCCCGTGGATAATGGCGCACCAAAGCCGCCGCCTTCGATCAGCAACAGCTCGACGCCCAGTTCGACGCCAGCGCCTGCACCTCCAACGACACCGGCAACCGGCCGCCGCCTCCTGACCGAAGACAGCAGCGAGCCAGCGACCGAGTCGTCAACGCCCCCAACAACAACGACGTCAACAACGCCGGACGAGCCGTTGTCGACCGACACGGACGAGCCGCCGCCGCCCGAAGCCCCGACGACTGCACCCACACCGCCGTCGCCGCCCCGTCCGCCGCCAATAGCACCAGCAGCCGCGACGCCGTCGCGTCCGTCCGAAGCCGTCCGAGTGAATCAGCCGCCCGCGGTCCCCCCGCGGGCGACCGACGACGGGTCTGCTGCGCTGTCGCTGCCGCCGGCGCTCAACGCGTCGTCGTCGACACCGGCCAACGCGACGGCCGGCAACGTTACGAATGGCAAAGACGAAGCGGATCGGTTGCCGACCACCGAAAGCGGCCCCCAAGCGACGACCGCTGCTGTGCTCGAGTTCAGCTGCGACACGACGTTCTACAGCGCCTGGAGCAAGATGGGTCTCACGTGCCACGGCACAGAGCTCGACGTGGTTCAAGCGGCCCAAGCGGCCGAGTGCCTCATCTACTCGGGGACGTCGTCCGGCACGGAGATCGCCGACCTCGCCACGTGCATGTCGGTCTGCCGCTTCCCCGCCTGTTCGCCCGAGCGCGGCGAGTGGGACTACGCGGCCGACGACGGCCTCAACTCGCCCGTGTACGCCAACTTGGACTTTATTGCGCTGCTGCAGCTCGGCGGGACCCGCGCGGCGACTGCTGTCGCGACGGCCGTCGCGCAGCCGTTCGGCAACTTGACGTTCGCTGCTACGACCGAGTGCGACTACGAAGACGACTCGTCGTTCAGCTCGTGCCAATGTGCGAGCGCAATGGCGTTCATGCCGCCCGCTGGGGACGCAACGGCCGGTCCCTCGATGAACTCGAACGCGCAGTACGCACTGCCGGTGAACAAGGGCCTGGAAGACGCGCACCACTGGCCCGACGGGACGAAGAAGAGCCCGATGGACAAGGCCGGGATCACCTCGACGGCCATTGGCGGCAGTGCCGCGACCGTGTCGGTCGTGGCCGGCGGCGTCATGTCGGTCGCCAGTGGCCTTGTCGGCGGCACGTCGGCCGGCGTGGCCTCGGGCGTCTCGGCCGCCGCCAGCATCGGCATCACGATGGCGGCCGTCGACATTTGCCAGTTTTCCGTCATGCTGAGCCAAATGAACGTCGACGCGCGGCCGCGTTTCATGGAAAACATGGGCAAACAAATGGCGCCCGCGACGTTTACGTTTTTGCCGTTTGGCCGGTCGACGAAGAACCACACGGCGTCGGACGACAGGGGCGCGGGCTCGGACGACGTGACAGCTACGCGGCGCCGGTTGGTGACCGGGAGTACGAGTGCTGGGGGGCAGCGCGAGCTTCGGCTCGGGGTCATCTGCGGCAGCGGGCTCGAGTGTCCAAGGGATGGAGCGCTATGCGTTTTTGATTGGTGTGGAGCCCGACATGTTGTTCTACGTGGCGGCCGCGGGCATTGCGTGCATGGTGGGCATTGTCTTTGGCCTGTACGCTGTCGCCATGAGCGCGTGCTACTTTGTTGTCGACGACTTTGTGAGCTTTAGCCGCAAGTGGCTCGACAAAGCCATTGGCGTGTTGATGATGATTTTGATTCTATCCGAGTACGTCATTGGCGCTACTGCAATGTACCAGATCTGCTACTGCATCGATCAAGGCTCGATGGACGTGAGCTTCTTTCTAGCGATTCTTACGCTGCTGGGCCTGGCGTTTGGCACGATTCTCTACGGCGTGATCGTCATTAAGAACAACGAAGACGAACTGCGTGACTTGGGCACGAAGGACCATTTTGACAAGAAATTCCACAACCGGTATGGACCGCTGTACGACGAGCACAGCTTCGAGGGCCGTTTCTTCTTTGCACCGAAGCTTCTTCTCGCACTGCTCTGTGGTATGACCACGGGTATGGTCTGGATCCAGGGCCTGTGGCAAATTATTGTCCTCATTGCACTCCACATTGCGTTTTTGCTGTACCTGGAAATCAAGCAGCCGTACCCGACTGCATTCGTGCAAAAGACGTCGAGTTTTGTCATTATCATCAAGATCTCGGCGCTGTTTCTGAGTTTTTTCCTCCTGTCGAGTGCTACGAGCTTCACCCAGAGCATTCCAGATGACCTGCGTGAGGGTGTGGCGTTTGCAATTGTCGGCTTGCAGGTGCTGGTGCTAGTATGCCTCATGATTCGTCAGGTGTACATCTTCTATCGTACGTGGAAGCTCAAGCGAGACGGCGCAGACAACAAGACGGTCACGTTGCAGACCACGAACGCCCGTGAGGGATCCGAGGCTTTCTTTGCTCTGGGCAGTACTGAGCCGCAGTACTATGGCAACAATACGAATCAGGACCGCGGCAACTCGCTTGCTATCTTGGAGACCGACCCCACTCCGAAGATGCAGGATCGTCGTGTCCAAGCACAGGAGACCCCGTCTAACGTTAATCACACCCACGGCAACCGACTGCAGGACCTGGCTCACCCGCAAGAGAGCAGCAACAGGCACGGTATGCAGCGCACTCACACTACGGTGCGGCGCGAGAACCAACACCGCACTAATGAGGTTGACCTATAGAGCCGAGCGGATGGATGTGGATACTAGACGCATGGATTCAATCGGACGAGCGCTTGTGTCTGATAATTGCAGCAGTAGTGCTGCGTCTGTTTTGCTTGGTAATGTTCATACAATCTACGTGTGTCGCACGCTTGCCTAGTGTGTGTTGTGCGACACCGAGGTCCAAGTGACATGGAGATGGCCATGGTTGTTTACGTGTTGCGATACCATTTGTACTCGCTCTTATATTTTTGCCCCCATATCAAGAGACTCGTGACGTTGCTGCCGCAGTTGTTTTTGTAACGATGCACTACGCTGAGAAGAAGGAATCCAAGAGCTCGGAAGAGAAACGCGAGGCCCATTGTCGCGTACCCCCAATCAACAAAACATGTTTGGTTCCGTGATATGGCACCATACGTATCCATTCGAACTGTCTCGCTGTCGTCAATGCGAGCTAAGCATTGAACAGAGTAGACAGGTCCTACCGACGCACAAGACCATGCAAAGCGAGCACACAGAGGTGGCGTGCATGATACATGAACATGCAAAGCGCACGCCATTGTGTTCTTGGCAAAAAGCTCAACACTCACACGAGCTCAACTATGCGCGTCGGTCTTATCCTGAGCGAAAGCCTAGTACGAAGCCCACAGCAAAGCTGCTACCAGCTGGCAAGTTCGAGTGCAGCACCTTCATGACTGACTTGTACATGGCGTCCACGTCCTTCGTATCAACTCCGCCGCCCTACAAATAGTAAATTAAGTGAAATGCCTCTCCTGCTGTCCTGCTGTTCGCACAACACATTGACGATCGCGTACCTGATGGATGTCCAGATACCGTCGAAAGTCTCGTCCGAGCTTCTCCGCGTCCACGTTCACGTACCCCAAAGAGCACGCACCATACAATAAACCAAGGAGCGCGCCAATGGCCACTGCGCCTACTTTGGACGCCTTTTTCAGTGCGAACCCGGCACACAGGCCCGTACAACAGCCCCATGAGACTTGGCCAGCTTTTCCAGAAGCCGAGACCTCATTCACGCGCTTTTTCAAGTGGTCCCACTCATCTGGAACCAGTGCCCCAAGCTGTGCAATTGCAATGTTCGATACCTCCTGTACTTTTTTCTTGGCTTTCTCAAACGGGTCGTCGTCGGGGGGTCCTTTCGTAGAGGCACAAGCCGTCGAAGTCTGCTCCGCCATACACCCGGATATCACACAAATCCCTGCTGCCAAAGCTGCTGCGGCACTGTAATTGCTCGATGTATGGTCCGTCGCTGCTTGGTGTCCTGTGCGACAAAGTCCTGATGCCCTGAAAATCCTTCGACGTCAGTTTGTCATGAATGACAGATACGACCCCTGAGCATCGCTTTCGATTTGTTATAGCAGACACACTCCGACGTGACAGCCGTACCTGAACTCGGTGCTTCCTGCTATTGCACCACTGGCATTCAAAGTCGTTCCGTGAGATGTACATTGCATGGCGCTTGCTGTCTTGTTACAGGAATAGAGGTGCTGACGCTGCAGAAAGAGGCGATGGCGTGTTCGGGCAAGGCAAAGCATCTCGAGGGCGGCGTCGTTGTTCAAAGGATAAGTTTGCTGGAAGTAATTTACACAGACCTGGTCAAGTTCGGATCGGCTGAAATAAGGACACAATAAAAGCGACGCCAGGGGAGCCCAGAAAATGGGCCTGTTTACGAGCGTGGGAACGAGCGAACAACTGGAGAGATAAAGTGCTGTATAAAGCGACTCTAATATCGATATCGTTTAGCGCACCTCCACAACTGAATAAGCTTCTTCCACCGTAACCCCTTCCGAAGCAACTGACAACCGTGACGTGTGTTTGTTTGACGTAACAGGCAATAATGATCATCGTCTTTGCTGTAGATATAAGTAGTACGAAACATATCGTGCCTCGTCAGTAGACCTGTGCCTTACTCTCAACAGAGCGTCGGTATAGCCATACTGTTTGCACTCGGTCTGCATACTTGTGCTGGTGCGCGCCTTCTTCCAAGCGTCAAGCGCATCGACATGTACGACGACGACAACTCATATAGTTGGCACCACGCGCATGGGCTCAATGGATCACAGCGGCCGTCCACGCTACCGCACTAGAGGAAGACATGCAACAGAACAATGTATCCCGTAAACACTATCTCTTGGAGAGTTGTCGGTTGTGTCGACGGGTCGTGTGTTCAAGAAACGCAGGGTCAATGTGATAAGAAATCGATAGCGAATGCGCGACATGACTACCAACTCGCCCGGCTCGATCGTTGAGGTGTTGCAATGAAGGCAGCGCGAGTCGACGCAGTTTGTAAGATCGCCCTCTCTTCGTCAAGCTTGTTATAACGAGCTAGTTACATTGCGACAAGTTGCACGGATAGCACCCTTACTGTGCGACAGAAGCAAAGCTCGGAACGCTCGGCACCGGCAGCCGAGTGTCCCCACTCGTTGACGCTATGAGTGTGAGTAAAAGTGTTGACACGTGGAAAGCCTTGCATCGATACATTTAAGTCAACTGCATTCTATGACACGATCGGCTGTAACGCCGTCCGCGATAGCTTCCATCCCACCTGCAAGCATGCATCTTTACGGTACATGGGCATTGCACCGATGTACGACCACGCGTGAATACTGTGCGTCGTCCAACGTACAGCGTGAGATGGATAGACTCAGCGTTTCGGGGAGCATTTTATGAGCATCTTCCGACAGCTTCGGTACTTCCATTGACATTACTGGGATAGGACCCGTACTTTGGTTGTCACCTACGATCATCTACGGACCTCTTGACCGAAGGCACTGTCAACCGTAGATGTGCGTGGGTGTCCATCACATGCTGCTGATGTCAAAAGCACTCGGGCTCATCACTCGAAAGCGTGCAACATGGATACGATGACAGGGGAGAGCTCCGTGCCAATGCAAATCATTGATTGCAATACGATAGTGCATTGCAGATAGCCTAATGATGACATGGATAGACTAGAGACGCACACAGCATGTGGCGTGTATGTACAGACTCGGGCGATAGCCTCGCTCGAACTTTCGACTTCTCAAATCGTAGATGCGCAGCTCAGGGCTGTAACAGTTTTCGTTGTTGGATCGCCTCGGGTGAAACAAAACTGACTGAAAAGAGACGTCGTCCACTACGCACGCGTTTACTCATTTACTCGATCTGTCCGCCGTCGATGTCTGTCGGGCGCCAGAGATGGTGTCTTCTCTCCGGCCTTTGCTGCTGCTGCTGCTGCTGCAAAATCGGTAGTATTGTGGTGCCCAAAAGCTGGCGGAAGCACTCCGATCCGGCGCGCTATGTGACGGTAATCCAACGTGCTCATTCAGGTGCGATGATGCAACAGTGTGCGGAGCAACGATGTTACAATATGATTACGAGATTTGCTCGTGGAGCTGAGTGCATTCAGAACGCAGCGAAGCGACGATATCGAATCTGTCGGTAGCCATCTACGGCGCGTCGTCACCTTTCGTGATGTGGTCGCTGGACCGACGGGTGCGGTGGAAGTATGACAGAGTAGGAGACGGCCTTGGTCCCGAACCAACGCAAAAACGCTTCATCGTTCTACTGACATCAATTGTGCCACAGGTCAGATAACGTGACTCTTCTCGATGCAGTGAGTGGCACGGGATACGTACTCGCGCAGCAAAAAGCGGGTACGCTGTGCTTTTGTCGTTGTTCTGGCACCGCACGTCTTTCCATGCAAAGTCACGATCGTCGATAGAGACATGCTGTGCACAAAACGAACGAACGGAGCTCTCTGTCCGCTGCAGTCGATCCCGAGTCGCTCCTTCGCTTTCTTTTGCAGGCACACTACGACCGAAGACCACACGCTGAGCTCGCCATTTGCTCGAAGTAAGATAGTCCTGAGAACGGAGTCAGGTGGAAGATACGGATGAACCCATTTTGCATGGCTGGGGTTGGCAGCCGGCGAACGGCTTGTGTGTCATGAGTGTGCTAAGCAGCGTGTCGTCGTATTCGTTGAGTGAGGAAGCAACTCGTTGGTGCTGCTGACATTGCGGGGAGAAGAGAGACGCAGATGATCTTGTCGACACACAAACACCCTTGCGCACAGAAAGTAGCTGCTGCGAAGTTCAATCTGTGACCTCACGCATACCGGCTATAGCTCACAGCTTCGCCACGTTCGGGCCCGCAGGAAGCGGTGTCGTACACACAGCCACAGTCGCCTCCTGCTGGGATGGGACCTTCCCACCGCATATCGCGTATCGCCTGTGTCAAACGCGATATGTCTCAGCGTGACTCACAAACAGATAGGCCGACGCCACAGGAACTGCCGATAAGTTCGGCTCGCCCCTGACGCCGACGTCCGAATATCTTCGCCCTTTGGGCGTGCAGGACCTACAGCCTATGACGCAGAGCACTTCGTCGCCCGCGTCTCGCTGCAGCCAGGCGGTCTGCTGCAACAACTTGCAGTCGAGACGACTGTGGTCGGGTAAGCGCCCTGAGCACAGAAACGAAGAGCACGGCGCACTGCCTGCGAGGCATATCCACGCCTGCCTATCCCGCGCTGTGTGAGCGGTTGGACGCCTTAGGCGTCCTCGACGGCCCGATAGTCCTATCGACGTGATGTCCTGACACCCACACGTCCATCCACACGTCCATCCCTTTGTCCAGTCATCCAGTCCATGCTCACGTGCATCGCGGCTTCTGTAAACTGTACGTGCGACGCTTTCGTGGCGGCAAACGCCTTTGCATCTGTCTGAACGCGAGCCCATCTCGCCAGAAGCGTCGAGGCATGCCAAGCCAGACAGACAGCGAGATAGACTGACAGAGAGTGAGAGAGAGACGACTGGCTGCACGCCGAAAAAGCACAGCGCAGTCCATCGCTCTCTTTCACTGTCGTGTCGCGTGATGCCGCCACGAGCGACAAGCACCGAAGGCTCCAGACGTGCCGTACGTCCGCCGTGTTGCGCGACGACGACAGCTGCTCCGATCGATTCGTGCGCTGCTGTTCCTCTAAGCGCGATGAAAAGATGCTCGAGCGCGTTGAGGGACGTCGGAAAATCCTGTTGCTTACGCGCTCCGTCCTATCCATCGACCGCTGCTAATGAAAAAACGACCAGCGACGGTACTCGCCGCCGCGTATGGAGCAACCAAAGTCGCTCGGCGTCGACTCTTCAGTCTCGTACACGCCGCATCGCGTACACGTAAATCAGTGAGACGCTCTCGCGCGTGCGTGTGTCAGTGTCGTCGCTCTCTCTCGCTCTCATTTATTACTACAACCCATCGCTCCTACTGCTACTGCTACCGCTACTGCTACTACCACTGCAACGACACCAGCCACCCACCCACCTGCCGGTTGGTCGGTCCCTCCATTCCCCAGCATGGGCAACTACACGCTGCAGCACGTGATCCCCGCGGTCCTAAACCTCACGCCCGAGCGGCAGGCGGCCTTGATCGCCGAGGTCGACGCCGTCGTGCACAACACCCTCGAGCTGCGGCGGGCGTTTGCAGCCAGCGGCCGCCAACTCGACAAGTCGGCGTGGAAGCTCGTGGCCACGCGGGACGACGTGCGCGCGTACCGCTCGCGTCGCGCGGTGCACGGCGTCGAGACGTCGGCGCCGCTGCGGCCGTCTCCGACGTCGCCCACGTCGTCGTCGACGAGCTCGAGCTCCAAGTGCACGTCCCACAGCAGCGCGTGTGCGGCCGGTCTGGAGAGCGACCGGAGGCGGTCGAAACCGACCGGCCGGCCGCCGGCCGTCGTGCTGTCCGGCACGGTCGACGGCACGGAAGAAGACGCCGTGCTGGGCCTACTGGCCCACTCGGAGCAGCACTGCATGATGCGGCACTCGTACTTGGGCACGGAGCTCGAGGACGCGCGTCTGCTGTGCGTCTTGGCCCGGCCGACGGCCGCGCGGCCGTTCGACTTCCTTGGCGTCAAATGGGGCCGACAGACCTACGGCCGCTTTAGTCAGCCGCGAGACTTTGTGTTCCTCGAGGCCACGGGCACGACGACCGACGCCGACGGCGCCGTCGTGGGCTACAGCGTCCGGCAGTCCACGGACCTGTCGGACGTACTCGCGCTCCCGCGGTCGCCCGACGTCCTGCGGGGCCACTTGTCCGTGTGCCACACGTTTGCCAACACGGACACGTCCACGGGCGGCGCGCGCCACCGGTCCGTCGAGATGTTCTCGCGCGCGTTCCTCCAGTTGGACGGCGGCGTGCCCGTGAACGTCGCGGCCGCAGCGTTGGCCGATAAACTCCTGGCGCTCGTGAACACCGCCGAGAGTGCAACGGCGTATAAGCTCACGTGGATGATGCGGCAGGCGCTCCGGCACCCGCACGCGGGCGGCGTGACGCACCACTGTGCGAACTGTGTGCACAGTCTGTGTACATTGAGCACGTTGCTGCTCCATCGCGGCGGCGCGTGTCAGGTCTGCCGGCGCGCGTACTGCGGCAAGTGCGCAGTGACTAAAAAGATCTCGATCAGCATTGGCAGTGAAGTGGTGCAGAAGTCGCTGCTCTTTTGTCTCGAGTGCCTCCTCGAGGCGAAACACCTCTCGGCGCGACAAGTGGCCGCGGACCAGCAGCGATGGTAGCACGTGTGGTCCTCGTAGACGGCTGGAACGAGCGAGCGCAGGGTGTGTATGGCGAACGAGACGGTAGACTCCCGAGAGACGAGCTACGGGGCTGTAACTAATATAGATATGCAGAGATCGCGAGAGACGTGTTCAATGCTACGAGAGAGCAGCCACAGTACTCGTTCGTGATCTCGTCGTGCACGTACGTTCATGCACCGGGTACGCACAAACAGCTCTCTGACCTGCGAGTGCTACGCCGATCACGTGATGTCGACGTGCCCGAGCGCTTCGATGCGGGATTGTCTCTGGCGTTCACTTCGTCTACATGAAGCAGGAGCAGGAGTAGTGCAGGCAAGAGGTTCATGCAGCCAGTGCCCGGCGCAAGTGGACGTCCTGCCTGACGCTTCGGTTTCGCGAGTCCTTTTGTCATCACAGCTGACGTTCCCAAATTTCCACCGCCAAGCTCGAGCCCACCGAGCGTCCGCCCCTCATCACATGCACCCTTCTTCGGCGGGAAGTATGTCCCTCGTGGGAGCCGAAGTGATGGGGTATGTCGTGGGCATTGACACGGAGAGAGTTTACGGCTGTCGGCGTCTCCGCGCCGCGCGTCATGGCTCCGGCCAATGCACTAGTTCGATGACCGGTCGCCCGAGCGGCCGCAATTGATATGGTGCGAGGTGCACGTCAGGCAGAACGGCTCCAGCAGTAGAGCCGCACAATCCCGAGAGCGCTACCGAACGTGATCAATCCCATGCGACCACCGGACTCGTTGTGAGCATCGGTGTTGACCGCCATCCAGGCTGAGGAACTGTCAGACATCGTGCAACCCTTACATGGCTAAATGGACAGGTCGGCCTCGCTCGCTCTCTCTTTCTCCCATGTGTCCGCAGCTGGTCCGAAGGCTCGCGCATGTTCTGTCAGCAGCAACAACAGCAGCAGCAGCAGCAACAACAACAACTCCGGTCGCGCTCGAGCCCTTGGGCGGGCTTGGAGGAGTTCCGACGTCGACGGACGGACACGAGCGCTCTTTGCGGACGCACCCATCCATTGCAACGCGCGCCACGTTCCTGACTCGGGACGCTGCTGCTGCCGACTTGTGCCGTCCCGTCTAGTGGTTCGCCACGCGGGACTCGGGAGTCTGTTGCCCGAAGCCACGACGGGTGGCCGATGCCTTCGATTTGTTTACGGCACATGTGTCACGCAGATCGGTCGCGACGAATCCACGCACCGATGCTCGCCCCGTCCTTGCGCACCGCTGATGATGCACCGGCGGCGGCGGCGGCGGCCCTTCACCGAAACCGAGGGACGCAACAACGTGCGGAGGCTCTCTGTACAGCGACAAAGCAACGGGCGCTGAACCTCTGCGCTCTTCAACGAGGGACTCGACTGTCGAAGTGACAACGTCAGCGTACGTGATACGTCTCTCTCGTCCAAACGTCACGCTGCCTCTGCTTCGACTGCGGGAAGCGCCCGTCCGTCCCGCAGCGGCGCAGGATCTCATGCGGTTCTGTCCTTGATCCTCTCCTGTCGTCGGTTGTTAGCTCGTTGTCCGCCTCGTCGCTATTTCGTTTCCCAAGCGGTAGGTACACCGCCTGCCGATCTCATCGAACCCGAGAGACGCCCTCCGCACGCGTAGCCGCTCGCGCGCATCCCCTCGTGGCGAAGATCCGTCCAGTGGTGTGGCGATAATGTTCTCCTGTTCGGTCTGAGGCGGCGTGGGGTTCCCGCTCCTCGCGAGTAACGAGAGCTCTGTGTGCATGCCACCTCGTCCCATGTGTGTGTGTGTGCGTGTGGTCGTGCGGGCTGTCCACTGACAAGCAGATCGAGTAAGCCGGAGCATTAGGCACGATAAGCGCAATGGATGGGCGCGCTGCCCCCACTTGCGTCTTTCTCATGCTGTTCAGCAGCAGCCAAATCCACTGCAGCGTTCGCAGGAGTTGTCCGTCGTCGCACACATAAGCACCTCGACCCCGACCAGCATACCCTCCTCCGCCCCACTATCTCCACTGCCACAACGCCCTCCACCGCCATTGCCACCTCTCACGCGTCCCTCATTGCTCGACCCACCGCCTCATTGACACGTCGTCCTCGTTGGCCACTCGCCCTCGTGCCCCGACGCGACCGGAGTCAATGGCCCCCGTCGACTTGCACCACGTCGCGCTGCCGGCGTTCACGCTCTCGCCCGAGCGCCAGCGCACGCTCCTCGCCGAGCGCGACGCGCTGATCGAGACCACGCTCGAGCTGCGCAGCGCCTTTGCCGCGGGCGGCCACCAGCTCGACACGAGCGCGTGGAAACTCGTCAAGACGGTTGACGACGTCCGCGCGTACCGCTCGCGTCGCGCGTTGCACGGCGCGCCGGACCAGACGTTGGACGACACGTGCGACATGGACTCGTCGTCCTCTCGCTCGAGCTCGCCGAGCTCTTCGGTGGACCGCAACCAGCTGCCGAGTCTCGGGTCGTCGTCGTCCAGCGGCTGCGGCGGTAGCGGTAGTGGCAGTGGTCGTAGCAGCCGTCCCGGGCGACGTCCGCGGCGCTTCTGCCCGAGCGTGAAACCCGCGGCGCGACCCCCTGCGGTCGTGATCTCCGGTGTCATTGACGGCACGGCCGAAGACGCCGTGCTCGGCCTCATTGCCCACACGGACGTGCAGTTCAAGACGCGCGCGGCGCACCTCAAGACAGAGCTCGACAACGCGCGGCCGCTCGCGGAGCTCGTGCTGCCCACGCAAGAGGACCCACTGGTGTACGCCGCGGTCAAGTGGGGCCTTGAGCCCTACGGCCGCTTTAGTCAAGCGCGCGACTTTGTCTTCTTGGAAGCCGGGGGCTTGACCACAGACGCCGAGGGCCACGTCGTGGCCTATGCGATTCGCCAATCGGTCGACCTCTCGGATGTCATCGACCTCCCGCGGCTCCCCCACACCATTCGAGGGTACATGTCGGGGTGCCAGACGTTTGGCAACATGACGCCGCGGGGCGACACGGCGCACCGGACGGTCGAAGTCTTTTCCCGCGCGTTCATTGAAATGGACGGCAGTGTGCCCGCGAACATGGCCGCAGCTGCCTATGCCGAGAAGCTCATGGCCCTTGCACTTATTATCGAGTGTGCGTACACGCACAAGCTCGCGTACTTGATGCGGCGGTCCACTACCCGCAGCCAGTGCGGCGCCCAGTGGTACCGGCACTCGAGCAACACTTGCACGAATTGCACGCGGGCCGTGTGTCGCGTGCTGTTTCGACCGCTCCAAAGCGGCGGCTCCTGTCGCATCTGTCAACGGACGTTCTGCGGCAAATGCTCAATCACGCGGAAGATGTACGTGACGCTGGGGAACGAAGTGCTGCAGAAAGAGATGCTCTTTTGTCTCGAGTGTTTGTTGGAAGCCAAGTCGCTCGATGCACATGTAGTGGCGTCGGATAAAATCAATTGGTAAGTAAAGTCACGCCCTGACGTGCCGCTCGCTAGGCGGAAAAACGACGGGGGGTGACCGACATCGATGCTGCAAAGGACACGGTGTCGTCTGACTGGTCAACCCCTAGTACAAAGGTAGGGCCGAGCTCGCGGTTTGTAGCAAGCACGAGGCCCTTTAGTAGAAGCTTTGCAGATTGTCCGTCGCTCCGTCCCTCGTCGTCTGTCGTCTACTTCGTAGTGAGGTTTGAGCTGCTAACAGTCTTTTGCAGAGGGGAACACTGGAGATGGTTTGCAAAGATTGCGTACAGCTGTCACCGACAATGTATTCGATGTGGCCGCCCACGTGGTCGTTCGGTCTTACTTCCGGCCCCTGCAGTACATTATGTATCCCATGTTCGGCACAATATGGTTCTCCAGCTGCAGCTGTCGTGAACCAGGTGGGCGCGACGAATAAAAGCATACACAAAGCACACACCTCGAGGCACTCAAAGCCTCGGACAGGCAGCTTCGATCGCCTTTGCTGCTTCGCTAGTGTTGCAGCACGACGAGGCTGCTGGACGACAAGCACATCAATGTTTCTACTGGCAACGACAGCAACACGATCCATTCTGCTGATTGAAATGACGACCGAACGTTGCTCACGGGTATGATGCACAAGTGCTTGCGACGAAGCAGATAATCGATCATTCGGCTGTCGTGTATCGGGTGAGTGAGTGCGAAAAGTTGCTATTAATCGTTGCCCACGTCATGTACTGACACTTTGGAGCTGTACACATATCTATTGCCCTTGTCAGTCCTCCAGCAGACTTACAAGAGCTGAGACTACTGCACTATGATCCGATAGTGGATGTGCGGATTCTCCTTATGGATGCTTTTCACTTGTATCTGCAAGGGCTGGCACGATAAAGTCGGGTCTGAACGGTGACACCGCAGCACTACACAGCTATGTCGATTCAGCCAAAGCCCTTGTATACTTTGAGCTGCAGAAATTCTTAGCTTGTCGGCGTGAGCTGATACGACTTAGGAAGAGAGCGCTAGTGCCATGCTCAGAAGGAAGTTGCTGCGATCTACAAAGCAACCGCTGCTGAGCACCTTGTGAATGTTTGCAACACAATGAGCGAAATCTTCACGTCAACTTCAAGTGTTCTGTTGCTTATTCTTACGTCAAGACTCACTCTTGTTGAGCAGATGCATGCGAAGATAGCATTGCGTATTTATAAAGTTGTACCGCTTGACCTGTCGAATGTCTACTGCTTTGTGTGTTCAATTCGTTAGATCTGCACCTTGTGTCGCAATATTCACGTGAGCGCGAGCAGTCTCGATGCATTCTGCGCGCGCGAACAGCGGTTTTGTTTACACATGACACAACTAGCTATTCCGTATTTCGCAGTAGTCTGCGCTCGCAGAAGCATTTCGGCAGCTATACCCGTTGTACATACCCTCACAAGACACTTGATATTGGAATGTCGGTTTGTACTAGAACGGATCTCAGTGATTGCCAATTCGGGTTCTATCAGTACCTCTCGTACAATCGCACACTCTGTAAGGACAGGCATGTTGACGCTTGCGGCATTAAACTTGTGACTTAAGTGGATGATTTGACAGCGAAATATTAGCAGACAAAAGTGCCAAAAATGCCATCGTCAAGCTTGAAGATTGCTGATCCAATCATGATTCTCCACTGTCATGATAGTTCTATTGCTATCATCGACAGTACTTAATGAGAGTAAACACCAAAAGTAGATGATTACCCATCACTATACTTGTCATCCATATTTGCTCAGCCCCGAACATGACTCTCATCGACAAAGTGCCGGTAATAATACCGACGGAGATACATGATTGATTCCTTTTCATTTTGCAGCAGAGCCCTTATCGCGACAGCCACTTGTGAATCCCATTTTTGTAGTGACGCTTTACTCGGGATCTGAAGCAGTACACCATGTAAAATTGTGGCAGAATTACATACCACACAATCCCAGTGTACCGGAAAGATGCAGAATGTGACACCATAGTCACCAAATTGAACGGTACGAGCATGTTGTAACGATGTAGACGATAGGTACGGATTACACTCTATTCGGGACCACGTATTCGAAAAACAAGAGCCGACCCATCTTTCTATGCTGTCGGTGACTTTCTGCTCGTTACATTGATGAATGCCCGCAAGTGTCAAACTTCGACTGGACGAAGAACGAAGCAAGACGACCTAACGATTCCTTTCGTCTCTTGTTGCCAAGTGAGATTCGCCGGAGTGTATGGTACTTTCGTAAGGCAACATACGTACGTGATGCCGTGGGCTTTCGAGAATCATAACAATGGTATATCGGTGGCGGAACTTTCTGTATTTTTCGGCTCTACCTGATCAATTCAGCTAGTAGCTTCTCGCACGTGGGCCGTCGCCATATATATGACCAGATAGCTGACAGCAATTTGGTTCGTAGTCGCACACCATTTCGATGCCTTAAGCGCTTTGTATACTTGATCTGAGTATTGAGCAAACACTGATGGGTAGTGGTTCAATGCCTTTGAAACAGGTAGAGAAGACACATCTGCGTCGAGTGTACATTGTTTTAACACGTCGTCTGTCACTTGGCACCACACCTAATGGGTGGACGTACTTTCGGTTAAGCTCAATTACTGTTCGAATGATATCGCTTTTGTATTCAATCCACCTGTCCTTGAAGAAGACGCGAGTTTGCTATTCCCCGTCGTCGCTTTCTATCGTGATGCTAGGTGCGCGAAATCGGCGAGGCTGAAGTAGGCTCGGACAGATGTAGCGGGGATAGGACATGAACGAAATATGTTGTGTCTGAGCAACAGAAGATGTTGAGCAGCGGCGCAGTTTTATCGTGTCATCATTGATCGATAGGCATTTCACTTCGTAGATCGATCGAAATATCAACTATAGCGACAGTTAGGTACGCTACAGTCACGACGTAGTCAATATCGCGAGTTATAGAACAGTATCATGACGATTGCGTCGCATAGGTCTGTATTCTGTGGCGCGGTAGTTGTTCGTCAACAACTTTGATGGTAAAAGCCAATTGATCAGCGGATATAGAAACCATTCGGACAACACATGTAACGGGGCACTGGTGACAACGTGCTGGTTCACCAGTACGGAGCTCACTTCCACTGGCAACATTGATAGTCAGTGGCCCTGCTAAGTGTTGCACCAACACAGAGGAGGGAAAGGAGACTAAGTTCACACTCTAGTCTCTGGTAAAAGTAAAACCGGTATTTTATACAATTCAGTCCTATCAATCTTGTGTCTCTGTTTGCCCTAACTTAATTATGTTAATCTAACTAAACGTATGATGACGTCTACTCACCACCCATTGCGCGCGTCCAGCAGCGATTGGTGGGTTGAAATCACCACGATATCAACGAATGAGTAGATCCTTTGGTCATCTCAACAAAACCACCATGCTCTGTGATATTGTTGAAAGAATAATCAACGCGATATTCTGTATTGTCATTTTAGCCTCAATGACAATATCATGTAACGGGCTACTGCGTTACAACACACAACCACCTCGAACGCTCACTTCGATCCATTTCGATCCAAAATGTGTGCGAAAATATAAAAATACATGTATTTCTCAAATATTCGGGCATGTAAAAAACTCGTGTGTGTAAATCGTCTAAATCCCTGATCACACGTAAGATTGTTGTTTAACGTGTATACTACCGCACAGAAGTAAAATATCGAAATGTCTGAAGCACTTTTATTTCGTTTTCTCGTTCATATCGTTCCTTGATTATCTTGGTGCACATTTGTCATTGTCCTGCAATTATACTGCTGCATAGAGACAAGGGCACATTTCACTGCGACCAAACTGTGACGAAACTTACTCTATCGGCGTCACTAGTTAAGCATATGTCGTGAACGTTATATAATCGTAATCGCGAATGTCAACATAACGCCAAAGTAAACTGCTAATTTAAAGTTGGACATGCCATGTCGATGTTCCACTCATGAGCTGACATCATCAACGATAGGATTCAATCATTCCTTAGATTAACATAAAAAGCGCGCAACAAGTAATGAGCAAGTAGGAAACATACTGATATGTGTTTTGGTAACGTCAAAGTACAACTAAAGGTATTTATTGGATGATTCAAGCTTATGTTTTGACCAATTCGTCGAATTCGGGCATTGAAAGCTTGCACTGACGCAGTACAAGCTGATTACAATAATCACATTCCAAGCAAGAGACTCGGTACCTAATGTACAACGTTCGTGCAGACGAAGGAGAGTCTACTAAACGAACACGCTTAGTGAAAAGGAAAGTAGAACGGCACTATTCTACATATAATGTCTCCTAAGTTTTATATACAGATGTCGATACACATCATATGTCTTGCTTGACTATATCACACAACAAACTCCCAAATGCAGCTACGTGCTCACCACCTATTGCACGGGTCTGGCAGCAATTGTGTGTTGAAGTTGATTAATACAATGACCTACACTTTGAAATGAGTTGAGAAGTGCCAAATATTATCTTCGACAGCAATTTTCCTTCAGCATCTACTTTGTAAGGTGTATATTGGTGAATACTAAATACAAAGATAATCTAATCTTTGAGACCTGTTTGGTGTCAATGGCGTGTCATGGGCTCATCGCGTTGCATCTCCCGCTTTATAACATTCGTCACATTAGTGACTGGTTGATAGAGGATTGGTGAAGGGATACCACAATCAGGCCACCTACAAGAAAGGGAAGCATTTCTTGGTCTGGCCTTTTCCATTGCGTATTGTATCGCATTAGTAACAACTGTATGTGGTGCAAAAGCAAAGCTGAAAAACCTCATCTCCACGAATACATCGCGCCGCCGATAAGGCGTCCATAGATCTAGGAACAGGTCATCATTCGCCCAATGCTGTTATAGTGTGGTTCCATCCATGTGTAAAAATATCGAGATCCGACGTCGTGGACCCATGCCATTCTAGGCAGCAAAATTTTGGTGGAGAAATCAAAGTTGAGCAGACGGTATGAGACAGTAGGTAGTGACT